TCCGATACACTTACTCCAGATCATTCTTGGTCGTCAGCGTTGTCTTCGGCGGGCCGGTTGAGCAAGAAATGGTCGCTTCGACTTCATTTCAGGAGGCATTCACAACAAGTGTCCAAACCCTCGCATATGCCTTCTTCATCTGGAGAACGAACGACCGTACCCCAAGACTGTCCCGGTTGCTGGTATTCCGGACCACGTCGAGATGCATTTGCCCAGTGATTTGACTCAAAATGCTAGTTCAATCGATTGGACCCAGAATCAAAATTTTTCAGTCATGGGTGACCAGAGGTAAGCATGCATTTATAGACAGACTTTAATACGGACCACGGTCTTTAGACTGGGCTTTGTCTTAGTCACAACGCATAGTGCCGCAGACCGTCAAAATTCTTCTGGCTATCTCTTCCTCACCTTTTTCATCACCAGTAAACACAATTTACGAACTACCTACACTACGAAATACATGTCAGTGTCCATTCAGTACAGATGTCAAAGCATGCAAGCATCAGTATGCCGTATACGTTTACTTTGGGATGCAAACCACTGCGATACAACTCGTCAACAGTCTATCAGAGAAAATCCTTTAGCAGCTAAAGAAGCTGAATCGCGAGAAGGGAAAACTTATTTGCCAAGGTGTGTCTAACGTGATGCTAGGAGTCAACTGGCAGGTAAATTTCTGAAAATAATTCGTTCATCCACTCATAATTTTAGCAGCTCATTGTCAAAGTAAGTCTCCCGATGAAGAGGATCATATTGAAGTGGCTCTTAGATCCATGTGCAACCAATAGCGATATCTAAGCGTAGGAGAGGGACGAGCCGAAAATCAATTCCTGCAAAAGTTGGAAGACCACGCTCACTAATTTAATATTGTTGCATTATACTTTCAACGCAAGGTACATTTTAGGATTTTTAAGCTTGGATTGGCAAATGGCCTCTCGCCATGAGTTTTTTCCGTATGTATTCCGTAAGGTACACACAGTAGTCTTGTCGTTAACATGTACAGAACAATGTTATACACATATTTATATACATATATATTTATATGTATGACATCAATTACACATTGCAATTGCAATTGCAACTTTGAATCAGACCAAAGTATATAAAAATTTGTTAGGTTTATTGAAAAGTTCAACCATGTGATTCATGAACATTAATCACACAACTCTTTAGGAAAGGTAGGTCCAGCTAAGGCACACAAAAAAAGCACTGAAAAATGAACGATCGTGAAAGACTGGCGCATATAAACATTAGAAAGATAAACTACTAACATAATAGGGTTATACTATGAAAAGCAGTACGTTTAGAAAACAAAAAAAAGATTCCTACGAACAGAAAGAAAAATATTTTTAGAAAAAATTTTGAATGGGTACTTATCGGAAGAAAGCACGGAAACAGACTAGGAAAAGAGCAACAGACCATCACAGCATCGTAGCGCGCGAACAGACGTACAGATATAAATCGGAACATGACAAAATGCACAGCAAAGAGTATAATTTAGGGAAGGGGAGGAACTACTTACATTTAAAAACAATAGTGTCGGAAAACTTTTGACGAGACAGCAGCCGAGAAAAACAAGAAGCAAAAGGTGATGAGAAAAATGGTGTGATGAGAAAAACAAGACAAAGCAAAGAGCACAACATGTAAAAAAAGTGAAATTATTTTCGGCAAGAAAGAAGATGCAGTAGCGGCAACTTTAGAAAAAAATAAACTAACGACGAAAGAACAAACAAGATTTGGACAAGGTAAAAAATATAATACATGGTGGAAAGGAAAGTAACTTACGGAAAGAGTTAAAGAAAGAAAACGTACGGAGATTATAGAGCAAGGTAACGCCATACAGGTTGTAAAAGTGGAGCTTACGAACATCAGTTGCGACGCAGAATACAAAGAAGAACAAACATAACATGCGGATTGCGTCATAGGACAGGTAAACTACCGTTTACTCTGCGGAACAGAGTGATCTGATAAGGCATAACGAGTAAACAGCTGCAGTAAACAACGATGAAAAAGAAGCCTGGAGAGAATATAAACGGCATCAAGAATGCACGTGGGAGAACAAGCAAACTTACATAAATAATGACCAGAGGTAACTTAATAAAACACTTCTAGACAATTGCAAAATAAGCAAGGTAGAAATACCCATCACTACCTATGTCATTTCAGATTTCGAACATAAACGATAATGAGGCTGAATAAGGCAGAAAACAATCTAGAGACAGCAAACGACAGCTTATAGTGAAGAAACAGAACAGGCGTAACAAGATAGCGGCCGCAATAAATATAAGAAAGACAGACAGACGACCACAACATACGTATGCAGTAGCACGGAACTTACGAAAGTTTAAATTTTGAGCGTAGAGAAGAATCAGATTGAACAAACGCAAAACAACCAATGGACAACGACGGAGTCTAACGGAATCGAATCCGTTACCTCCGGAGTCGAAGCAGACCCCTTAATGAGAACAGTTTCACTTCCAGACCGATGACTCAAGGCATCGATTGATTGTAACATGAAGAAGCAACGAGAAGAGAATGCTAATATGATCAGAATAATGGGAAACTAACTTAGGAATGGAATACAGAAAATACATGAAAAGCAGGAAATCCATAATGAAAAACGTTTATTGACCTATTTGTTTCTAATTGGATAACATTATCAATGAGTTTCGAATATTGCAATCCTTTGCGGGAGAGGAGTAAACTGGAAGTATTTAACTGCGCTTTGCAAATACTAACATTAGCATAATTAACATAAAACATATCTTGAAAATCAATTTTTAGTACTACTGTAACTAAGTGAAGGCTGAATTTTCGAATAGAAGGACATGGACGAGGACAACGAGGAAATCAATTTTCCTTTATGGAAGACAGTAGCTGTTGTAGCTGTAATCATCGGTTCGCTTGGGGTGACATACCCAAAATTCATCCATCCTATGGTGTTATTCATGTTTGGCGCACATAACCAGGCTTCTCCTGTTGTTCCAGAACCAGGTATGCGAAGACGGGTTCAGATTTAATGTCAGTAATGATCTTTGTGCGATAAATCGATTCTTCTATGTTTGGTTCCTCCCCCCCTTTATGACCACAGATTTCGAACTAGACGTCGCGTACTCAAATCAAATGATGAAATGTTTCAGGCGAAGCAACGAAAGACAGGTGCGTAACAGCAGTAGGGTGTACTCGTTGTGTTGATTGTCCAACTGGATAATTCGCTCTGAAGCGCATCTAGGCAAACTGCAGCCGTAAGAGGCCGTCGCATTAGAAGATATAGTCGTACTACCTCTCGCTCATTGTAGGCTGGGCCACTCCAGGGCAGCAAGTTATTTCTGATGTTCGAAAATCAACGACTTAGTACCCGTTTGTCAGCTGATTGTACCGAAGGATCAAGTTGTGAATTGCTTGCTTAGGGAAACTGGCGGCTAAGAAAATTGTTATTTTCGGGATTCGAATCAGGGATCCCCGCAGTGCCCTCGTCCCTCAATTACGAATGAAAGAGTGTCCGCTTTGTTCCTCAGTATTAATCGTCGCTACATGCCCTTGTGTTATGTAATGCTAAGGATAACAGGATAGCGCAAATTGTCACTACTGTGGAAGCATAAAGTAGAACCGATAATTGTATTCATTCTTGAACCTTATGGAGAGGCAGTGTGGGCAACTAAACAAGCGTGCAATGGACTGGAACGAGGCGTTCTGTTTCATTCAGTGCTCTATGGATTATCAGATGATAACGCTTCAATGATTTTGCCGCAGACACAACAGCAACTTCCTTAGCGTCAATGTTGCATATGTTCATCGCCTACTTAACAGATGGTTCAGTGCTGAATTCAGAATCTTCTCATATAGGGTCTGAAATAAGGTATTTGGTTGATGCCTTATCATCCCAAGTGAGTACACGTGAAGGATAGGGAGGGGGGTTAAACTCACCTACACATCTTTTAAATAAAAAGATGTCGGGAGGCACTGGAAACTAATAATTCAGTACCGCAATACAGCAAACCCTTTGGAAGGTAGCCTTTGAAAAAGGTTCAACATTTCGTTCACGTTTCGGACGAGCATCGATGCCATGACAAAAACTTCTAACTCCTAAATGCTCA